CAACTCCACTATGGGTGCTGTCCCGACAGAATTTCAAGTTGACGTCATTTTGATGATGCAATGCGCACTGTACACGGATTATCAGACGAATCCGGAACCTGTGGTTGACCGAAGCCGATCGATCCTGTACAAATTATTACAAAGAAAAACGTGTGATGCGTTGACACCCGTACACATGTTGTAAATCACTGGTGCAAGGAGCATTGCGTCATAAATAATGACGTCAACTTGAAATTCTGTCGGGACAGCAGGGTATGTGGGAGTTGCACACTCTTGGGGGTTATGTACTCTTGCTTCCGCTGAATGCGGTTGAGCCTGGCCAGATAGGTCGGGGCAGCAGACATCCAGACCAGTGGAGCATACTCCAGCATAGGACGAATGAATCCTCGGTAGACACTCAGACAGCCATTGGTGTCAAGTATCCGAGCGGCTCGGCTCAAAAGCCCAAGACGTTGACTTACTCTCACCGCCATGCTGCTGATGTGCTGACGAAACGAGAGCATTGAGTCGAACAATATACCCAACAGCTTCAGTGTTGATGCCTGGGCAATGTCGACACCACCAAATGAGATGCCTGGAGTGGCTGGGTCCAAGGATCGTGTGCACAGTAGCTGCTGTGACTTGGATGGCTCAAATGTCACCCGCCACCGCTCACCCCACTCTTGAAGGCCATGTAGGGCATCTTGTAAGGAGGCATTGTGGGGAGCAGCAGTTCCTGGTTGCAACAGGCTGTATAGCGTGGTGTCATCAGCAAAGGAGCTAAGGCGCGTTCCGGGGGTAAGACATTGGTCGATGTCGCTGACGTAGATATGAAATAGAGTCGGCCCGAGGATACTTCCCTGAGGTACTTCCGCGGTGATAGGCTGAGCAGATGAAGCTTGACCGCTGACCACAACTTTCAGTTGGCGGCTATGTAGGTAGTCCTGAAGCCAAGGTTGAATATAAGGCACAGTGGGCACGCCAGAGATGGAGCCAGCACTTTGAGAACTTCATTTGGTAGGGCATCAGGACCAGGGCTTTTGTTGCTTTTTAGTCTTTTTTGATAGCTGTGAACAGATGTTGTGGTGGTATGTACAGAGCGCAGATCAGAAGACAGGGTCGCAGAACGTTGCAAAGGTGGTATTGGAGAGGAATGGTCGTCTGGTATACCAGCTCATGTGAATTGCGTATTGACAGTATCAGCTACAGACTTGGGGTCAGTCACCATCAACCCCTTGGAAGCTAATAACGGAGGTATGTCTTGACGTGTACCGTAACGTCCGCTGCAAACGCCCATTTCGCTGCAAACGCCCACCCCAGCGAGTACGAAAACGGCTGTAATGCCTACAAACTGCCTACTTACCCAGAGGCTCTACAAAAGCGATTGTCAGAATCTTGCTGCAAAGAAAAACTTCTGTCGAGATTTTCCTTTCATTCGATAAATGAGTCGTCTTTGTGTCAGGTCGCTCTCCATGTAGCAATGCCGTAGAATCCATCTGGTTTTCATGAAATTGTGGCACTTGCAGAACGGAACAGTGATTGTTCTGACGAAGCGTCAGTCAACGACTTGACTGCTCGCAGTATTGCAGTTGCAAGTCGAACAGGGTATGTCACAGTATTGCAGTTGCAAGTTGAACAGGGTATGTCACAGTATTGCAGTTGCAAGTTGAACAGGGTATGTCACAGTATTGCAGTTGCAAGTCAAACAGGGTATGTCACAGTATTGCAGTTGCAAGTTGAACAGGGTATGTCACAGTATTGCAGTTGCAAGTTGAACAGGGTATGTCACAGTATTGCAGTTGCAAGTTGAACAGGGTATGTCACAGTATGGCAGTTGCAAGTTGAACAGGGTATGTCACAGTATTGCAGTTGCAAGTTGAACAGGGTATGTCACAGTATTGCAGTTGCAAGTTGAACAGGGTATGTCACAGTATTGCAGTTGCAAGTTGAACAGGGTATGTCACAGTATTGCAGTTGCAAGTTGAACAGGGTATGTCACAGTATTGCAGTTGCAAGTTGAACAGGGTATGTCACAGTATTGCAGTTGCAAGTTGAGCAGGGTATGTCACAGTATTGCAGTTGCAAGTTGAACAGAGTATGTCACAGTATTGCAGTTGCAAGTTGAACAGGGTATGTCACAGTATTGCAGTTGCAAGTTGAACAGGGTATGTCACAGTATTGCAGTTGCAAGTTGAACAGGGTATGTCACAGTATTGCAGTTGCAAGTCAAACAGGGTATGTCACAGTATTGCAGTTGCAAGTTGAACAGGGTATGTCACAGTATTGCAGTTGCAAGTCAAACAGGGTATGTCACAGTATTGCAGTTGCAAGTTGAACAGGGTATGTCACAGAAGCTAGTACAAGCTACACCTACGAAGTCGCTGCTAATTTGTTGAAAACTATGAAGTGCTCGAGAAAAACCCTTGCCTTTGAGCGTTGCGTGATTTGGAAATGATCAGAAGTGTATTTGGTTCCTGCAATACTCTGTTCTTTGCTACCTTATTATTCGGAAGAAACTCCCATTTGGATTTGCGAAATAAAGCAACCATCATCATAAAATCACTTTGAGCTATCTCGTACCTAGTGCCCAAAGAGACTTTCAAACCAGGAAAGTGGACATAGTTTACCGTAGCAAAACGCTCTTCCCGCTACGGTATGAGACGCATTTTTGTACAGTAGAGGGGAGAGTGCATGGAGTCAGTGTGTACAGGCCAGCAGATTTTGCATAAATGGGGTGGGCGTTTGCAGCGGACTTTACGGTACTAGTTGCCCTTTTGCGAACAAAGGTATACAGGTTAGGCCTGGAGGAGGGGTGAGATAGGGTGGTAGTGAGCGAACGTAAATATGCTCGATACTTAGAACGTGACAATGACTTCACCAGATTGCGCTGTTTTTTTTGTACAAAGAAATATTAGCATAGGTGGAGTACTTCTTGCTTAAGCTGTAGTAGTGGTATATGAGATTAATTGCACCTTCGAGATCTTTCTCGAGCCAAGGGATCTTGGGGTTATGGCTGGACTGACGAGGGTGGTGGCTGCCATGTTTGGGTGTAGCGGGTTTAGCTCCGTATTGTGGCACATAGAAGGAGAGCACGTCATCAAGAACTGTGGTAAACTTCTCCACAGCTTCATCAACAGTAGTGGAGGTGAATAAAAGATGCCAGTAAAAAAAAAAGAATAAAAGATGCCAGTCACAGGAAAAAAGTGCAGAGTTGATGATTGACCGCGTGGAGGATGTAACCTTGCAGAAGGCATGTCCGGAGGGGTAGTAGTCTGGGAGCAGTTGTAAGAGGTGTTTGCAGTGGCAATGTTGTAGTTTAGCGTTGCAATGACTTGCAAATGAAATGATCCGATGCAGCAAGCGGGGCAGCATCATCAACAGAGCGTACAGAGAGGGGTGGTTCGTAGCAAGCAAGTCCTGACAGGACAGTCTTCCATTTGGAGCGACACAGGTGGGGGAATTGACAAGCTGCTGGAGGCCAAAGCTGGAGAACACATGTGATAGCTCCGTACCCGCACGCGAAGTGGTGTCACCACTCCACCAGTAAGAATTGTGGGGGTTGTAGTCACCGATAAGAAAATATCAAATAAAGATAGGTCCAAGGAAGGTAAGTTTGTTGCAAAAGGAGATGATATTAAAGGGGAACTACACCCAAAATAAAAAACGTCATGGTCCGTAGAGTTTCGGGCGGTGAGTCGAATGGTGAAGGTCCCACTTCGATCCGACCAAGCGTTCTTGAGATAATTATATCAGTTTGAAATTGTCCTTTTCGGGTCCGTGCCGTGACGTCACAAATTCGTGACGTTATCGAGACTTGGTGATACTTTGGCCAGATCCAGAAACACTGGGATTTCAGATCTTCTTTCTGTTTGTCCATGGAAGAAGAGGGTATTTGTACGTCTTTCTCAATATTAGTTTGCATAACTATGACGAAGTTGAGTAGATGGGCGTGTTTTAATTCGTTTGAGCCCTTCTTATAGCGCACCTCCCTCCTGCGTGCGTCGTCAAACTTACTTTTGATCCGGCATTGTAATCTTGAGGAGTTTGGTGAACCTGAAGCGGTCCAGCACGCTGATGCTCTGATTGACTTCGTGAAGAACACGGCGGTACTCAAGGAGAAGGTGTTCCAAGTCAGCGGTGGTCCTCTCCAGTTCGTCCTTGATAAAGGCGCGTTCGATTCTCCATGGCTTCTTGGCTTTAACTCTCTGCACCCGCTTCTTGGTGGAGCGGGGCGCAACGCAGCACATAAGGCAGTTCTGTAGAAAGTCATCATTCTCACGACCATGGATGATCCGGCCTATGCACTTTAAAACATAATACAGGTCTTGAATTAGCCGGTGGTTCAGTCGCCGTTTTAGAGAGGTAGGCGAACAAAAGTTATATACACACAACAAGAAGGTTGTCAATTTCATAATACTAAAAGCTTTTCATCCATTTCATCAGTAGTTACATGGACGACTGTTTGTTACTCCTGTGATACTATTCCACTCATTCTGGGATTCTATCACCATTTGTCGAAGTGGGCGAAGAAGGGTTCGGCTGAATCGCTCCGTGAGACCATTCGACAGTGGATAATAAGCACTGCTGAATTTTGTTTTACCTCCATGTCCTTGCACAGCAGCTCGTTCCCGTTGCTCACAAATTCTCCTGCTCTTGTAGCAGTTGAGCACCCTTGTGTGGGGTAGCGCTTTTGCTGTTTGCGTTATGCAGAGCTCACTGACTTGACAGTTTGAGCACTCTGACAGGGTATGTTCGTGCCTGCTTTAATTAAATAATTAGGGTTTTGGAAAATGTATTTTTCATTGCCATTAGGTTTGGCCTCATTTCCTCTGTGCTGCGCTCATGAATCCACAAAGGACGAAACAGGTCTGTCCGCAGATTGAGTATTTACCTCTGGTATTGTGACTGTGAAAAATACATGAAGTTTCAGGAAGATGTGATGCAGCAAAGTAAAAATATTTCAAAACTCATACCCCTGGGGTCCGTTTGGATCCAACTACTCGGAATAAGGGTTAACTTACAAGAACTGAAGGGCTGAAAGGTTGGCAAATACATTTGAAGGAAGGCTTGCAAGTGGATTAGTCACCAGGAATCTACAAAGAGAGAGGAGAAAAGGGGACTAAAATATTGGCGAATATTTGGGTTCAGTGATGGCCGCTAACATACCAGGCGGTAAACCTTTATAGGAGGAGTAGAACACAACACTGTGTGTCAATGAAGCTAACACTTTCATAGAATAAGTAGGTCATAAATTTTGCGGACTAGGATGCGGATGAAAGTAAAAGAGCTCTGTATCCTTTTGTGAAAGTTTTCTGTTTTAGGTTGTCCCATGTCAGGAGTTTTTTTTGCCCTGGCCATGGCGACAAATTCAAGTAGTATAGTGGTTGACCCCCACAAATATGGGAGTCCTTCGCTCAGCTCAGTTCTTACAAACAAATGTAGTGATTGCCTAAATGGCCTGGCCGAAATTTGTAGTCGAAATACAGCGAGAGCGACGTGAGGCAGCAGATCGAGCGAAGCGCTTGATGTCCAAGATTAATCTGCTCACCCGGAAGGTTGAAGAACTCTCTATGAAAGCTGCTGGATCATCGTCATTTGATCACGGTGATGGAATTTCGTAGAGGACAACAAAGACAGTGGAGTATATGAAGTTGTTTGTGAACGAAAGCCTGCCGGAAGGAAGTGTGTGATGTTCGTCGGCAATCTTCCCTGCAGTGCAGTACCTGAGAAGATTGCTGAGTTTGTGACCATCAGAGCAAGTAAAGCCAAAGTGAACGTCAAGATCTACGAATGCAAAATTTTCCAAAAGAAAAGGTCCTCCTCGACACGCCTTGTTCTGGATGCTAAGGGTGCAGTACTAGTAAATTCGAGAGAGTTCTGGCCTAGACCTCTGTACTGACGTCTATGGAATTTCGACAAGTATGATTCTACGTCTCCACCATCCCGATCACCTGCGGGTGATGATTAGACAATGGATCTGTTAAGTGGCTTACCAAATATCCGTACTGAGACACGCCCAGCTGATGAATTTTCTGGTGCCATCAAGGGATCATCTATCAACTCGGAATGACCAGCACGAGGGTGACGACCAAAACGCTCCGACTGTACCTAACGAACGCCTTTGGCCTAGCCTCCAAATTTGGTGACTTCCGGCATGCTCTCGCACTCCACTCTCCCGATAGTCTCCACATGACCATGTTCTGTAAATGAGTGTAACAGACTTGAGGGCGACTATTGAAGGAAGAATAGGTGGGAAACATAAGAGGTATGGAATATCCTAATGACCCTGCCTGCCATGACTGAATCAGTGCAGCATTCGCATGGCCTCCAGTTGATCTTGCATACGAGTGGAACAGACTTGAGATCGATCATGGCATACGTGGTGGACACAATAGGTATGGAACACCTTACTGCATGTGTCTGCCGCGGTTGAATTGGAGCATTAGCTTGGCCTCCAGTTGATCTTCCATGATTCCTTTCTTGGCACTTGCGAGGGCTGCGAGCAGGGAGAAAACACGCTCAGCAGCCACGGAAGATGGCACAAGGCAGAATGTAGCCAGGGCTGCCCTCTGCCAATGTGGAAGGCTACTCTGGTTCTTCCACCAAGGTAGACAGTGGTCGCATGCTTCGACGTCTGCAGCAGCCACCAAGAACACAGGCAATTCATCGTTTAGATGTTGAATGGCCACATCTTGGCCCAGAGAAGGAAGGCGACGAAGCTGGTCTACGTCCTAATGAGTTGGTTGCAGTTGACGGGCTTTGGCTTGGCAGAATTTGCGGAGGATTCTGTACAGCTGCACGGCCAGCATGATCCCGCACACCCTTAGTACCGAGAGTACCAAACGTCTTGTTTGATGATCAGCTGGCTTAGTTTCTCTCCACCTCTATCCTTATTGGTGTGCTGCTGTGGTGTGCTGCTGGGGTCGTAGGTTGCCTTGTTTGACAACATGATCAGAGGCACCCATAGGGGCAGGCTTTTGATGGTGATGTTATTGTGGCTGAAGCTAGAGATGGCCAGGTCCATGCACGATGTAGGTGTGTGGCAAAGGAGATGTGTTGTGTGAGGCCACGAGTCAATGCAAGTCCTCACCAAATGCATCATTGGTGTCGCTGGAGTGCCACAGGCAGTTCTTAGCGTTGAAATCGCCAAGGAGAAGTATCTCATCCTGGGATCTTTCAACTAGCTTTATGGCTCTCTCCAGTTCCATTACGAACTCTGCCGGGTTGGACCGTGGGGGACGGTAGATGTTCCCTACCACAATGGAGGCTTGGCCGGTTGTTATTCTAATCCAAATACATTCCGCTTGAGTCATGGGAATGGTAATTGTCTCGTGTTGGCAGCTGTGTGGTATGTATGTGGCGACTCCTCCACCAAGGTGTCCCGGTCCGCTCTTATGAGTTTGTAGCCGTTGATGGCGTACATCCCGTCGCTGTCCGATGGATCAGCCCAGGTTTCCTGGATGGCGATTATTGACGGTTGTTGCAACTCTGCCACGTGGCTAAGCTCGTCCATCTTGTTGAACAGGCACCTGACGTTCGAGCTGATGAAATTCGAGACTCCCATTATTATTTTTTATTTTGGTAATTTGTTTCGTGATTTTTATGTATTTCCGCAATTGAAGGTATTGTTCCCACTGATATTGTGTGGAGAACAACGTTACTGAGTCTGTAGGCTAGGATTGAGTATCCTGTGACACCAGTGGGCTGAAGCGTGAGCCCTGTGCTGGGGCAAGGGGTTGGCTGTGGCCAGGGTCGATGTTGTTGCTCTCTTTTTGTTTTTTGGAATTTTTCAAATCAGGTGAGGATTCCGCATTGGGCCTGGGTCTCCTGCGTCGTTCTATTCTTCACTGTCTGATGAGGGGGTGGGTGATGATGACAACAAACATGCCAAAACAATTGGGGTGAAATTCAATTGTCAGAGTTTTGGTGACTACCACGACTTGTATCTCAAGACAGACGTGTTTCTCTTGGCTGACAACTTTGAGAATTTCAAAGTAGAAGCTGTCAGGACGTATCAGCTGGATCCAGCAAATTACTACACTCTGCCTGGGTTTGCCTGGGATGCTCTGTTGATGTACTCAGGTGTGTCCTTAGAAATAATGACAGACTATGATCAGCACTTGATTGTAAAATCAGAAATGAGAGGTTGTGTGTCGACGGTCTCACAACGATATGCTGCTAATAATCACTATCTGTTGTGTATCACTGGCCGATTATCTATGTCAGTCCATAACACACAACAAGAGCTTCGGTTGTTGTAGCTTGACTCTGGTCAAGGCTACGAGTAAGATCATTTCAAATAATGAAGTCGATGATAAGAATGAATTCGGCAGCTCTTTCACCAACCGGAAAGAGCTCTTTGTTTCGGGGATAAACAGCAGCAACACCATTACGAGCACACTATAACCATATGAATACTACAGAAAAAAGCTGAGTACGGTGTAGTGAGCTGGCCAGAATGTAATGATTACTGGAATGACAAGAGACTATAACATACAGCAGTGTGAATGTAGCACATCATGAAGGTGTGAGTACGACACATGCAGTGATGTGTAGAATGCAACATATGACAGCTAGGTGGTGTAAGAACAACGCAGTCACTATCACTACATCACTCCTTCTCCCAAACAAAAAGCCGGTGCCGGGGAAAGCAATAGAAGGAATTTAAAAAAAAGAAGAAAAAGAGAGAACACAATATGAAGTTTTGAATTTCAAAGCACCCAATGGAGGAAGATAGGAACTCAACTTCAAAAAACACAAAAAGTTGTCAAGTTGAACTTTCAGAGTGAGTATGATGCATTGTTGCAATCATCTTTTAGGATAAACTGTCTGCGTAGAGCCGTGCCTTTTCAGTAAATTTGATATGCCGTCCGGAGCGAGTGACTGAACCATCGACGAATGAGCGCTTGCCGGAAGCAGCTGGAATGTGTTCCTTCGAAGCAGGCTGGCTTTCACGTGCAGATGAAGGTTGAGAGAGTGGCATGTTGTGGCATGGCGAGCCCGGAGGCAGATCCACAGACGGTAGACATGCCGAAACAGCACCTGGCACTGTAGACTGACCAATCCGAGCAGACGGTCCAGTTCCGGTTCTATCTGGTTCTGGCACTGAAGGCTGACCGATCCGAGGAGCCGCCTGTGCTGGCGCTCGCTGAAGGTCCACCTCATGACGGCTGAAAGACGGGTTCGCTGACGACATGGGTGGAGAATCGTCCGGGCGATGCGGTGAAACAAACTCTCGTACATGCTGCCTATTCCTCAGTAGGTAGCGAGAGCCATCGGTCACTCCTACCTGACGGCCGAACTGGTTCACCACAGTCCATGACTGAGACTTGTCGCAGTACCCGTCCTGCACAGTGACTTTTGTGCCGGGCCGAAGCTCAGAAAGCATTCTCACGCCACGTCGGGAGTCGTGTTGTGCAGACATTTCAGCTTTTGCTTTCAGCTGGTGCTGGGGATTCACAACGGTGGGGTGGAGTTGTGCCGGGACTCTTGTACGCAGTGGTCGAGAGAACAAAGCTTCACTTGGTGATGTACCGAGCATTCTATGCCTCGAACATCGAATGTCAAACAACACTTGGTTAAGACGCCTCTGGAAAGGGAGATGTGGCTTAAGAGCAGACAGTCTCTCCCTTAACACTCGATGCAGACGCTCCACCATGCCATTCGAGCGGGCATACCTTGGGCTGGATCGTACATGTGTAATTGTAAGCCGGCTGAGAAATGAAGACATCTCCCCAGAGACAAACTGAGGGCCGTTGTCCGAAACTAAAGTCTCGGGAAGACCAAATGCAGAGAATACCTCATCAAGTTCATTGATGACGGAAGCTGAGGTTGTCGAGCGCATTATCTTCAGAATAGGGTACCTGGAGCCATAATCGACTATGGAGAGAATCGAGTACCCCTCAATGGATACTATGTCCACTGCCAGCTTTCTCCAGACGCCAACAACCTCAGTCGGTTGGAGCTCTTGCGCATTATTGGTACGTCTCCTCCAGCATTCAGAGCAGCGTTCCACGTATGTGCTTGCATCCTTAGTCATTCCTGGCCACCATACTCTCTGGCGCAGGGTGTCTTGGAAGGCCTCTTGTCCAGG